CCCACTGCTGGACCTCCTGATGGCACTGGTATTTCTGGCCACTGTGTGACACAGAGTGTTGGACTGGATGGGCCTTTGGCCTGATCCAACATTGGCGTCTCTTATGTTCTTATGACAAGAAAACACAAACCATTAGCAGCTCTTTCCTCTAGGTAGTTGGTGGGTTCATATGTACTTGCTCTCCTACTACAGAGGCCCTTCTTATTGCAAGGAGTTACAAGTTCCCAATAGCTGTGGGTTGGGTCAAGTGGGGTGTCCTGTATCTTGCTCATAATATATTGCCAAGGCAGTTGACAATTTGGATGGTGTAGTATAGTGGTAAAGTGCATGGACTCTAATCTGGGAGAACCATCCACTGGTGGACCTCCTGATGGCACCTGGTATTTTTGGCCACTGTGTGACACAGAGTGTTGGACTGGATGGGCCTTTGGCCTGATCCAACATTGGCTTTTCTTAGTTCTTATGATATCTGGAAAACAAATCCTATGAGGCAGATCGAAAGAACTGTTTAGCCAGCATAAGAAAGGGCTGTAGGGAGATCTAATTGTGCTCTTCAGATACCTCGAAGAAGATGGCAGGACTTGTGTTCTGCCTCTCTGGAGGGCAAGGCTTAGACCTAAAGGGCTTAAGTTACAGGAGGGCAGATTTCAGGTGAACATTCTGACAAACTTCCTAGCAGAAAGGGCAGTCTAATAAATGGAACAAATTACCTAGTGGAGAAATAGGCTCTCCTTCTCTGAAGGTTTTCAAGCAGATGCTGGAAAACCATCTGTTGGGGATGCTGTTAGGCCTTCTTACATTGACCAGGGAGTTGGGCTACATGGCATCCAAGCCCGATCCATTTCTAGGACTGGGACTGTGATGTGGGGGAGACGAAGTGTGGGGGCTCCCAACCAAATGACTGTGTGGTAGAGGTGGTAGGTTTAACAAGCTATGGGCCGGAAAATGCGGGGGGGAAGTGTGGCTGTTTGCCCCGGGGCAAAATAACGTGCGGTTGCGTGAGCAGATGTCTCGTGAGGTCCCGCAGAGGTCCCGTAGTTAGGGGGAGGTGCCGATCACAGGACACTCCTGCGGCGCTGCAAAGAAGCGGGGCCGCGGGGCAAACAGGGTTGTGTTTTGTTTTTTTAAACTAAAGTGTGCGCATGCTCCGTTGGGTGCTTGTGCGCATCCGTGGAGACTTGGGGGAAAAAAACCCTTTTTGCGAGGGGACATGGGCGGGTGCCAGAACTACCACCGGAAACTTGATCAGACGCCCGCCCTTGCCCTGCGGTTTCCAGAAACTAGTACCTCGGAGGTACTAGTTTTTTACAGCGCATCTTCGGAGTGAAGCCTCGGGTGAGCCACGGGAGCTCTACGCTTCCCAGATGTGGTGGTGAGATCGCGCCCGGAAAATCCGCCTATCTTCCGTCTCTCTAGCGTGCCTAATGCTCCGTGTGACCGCAGCCTCTATACTGCTTTTGGCTTGTTGGGGAAGCAGGATCGGCTAAAAGAGTCCAACTTTCTTATTAATGGTCTGCAGTGTTGAGCTTCATTGCGGTGGCCTTAGGGGCAGTTCCACATACAAAAATGCTACAATCCTGAAATCCTTAGCCTTAAATTAGCTTAGTACAAAAATGCTACAATCCTTAGTCTTAAATTAGCTTAATACAAAGGAAAAGAGTTGATCTGTCATGGAAGGTTACATTCTGGAACAAAGGAGAATATAATTTTTTTAAAAAATGTTCTTTAATAGGGCAAGACATAAATCCTGCCAAAGTGAAGCAGGATTAGATTAGCAGAGGTCGTTACCATTTCCTGCCTCCTCATTCCTTATGCCCTTTCCCCAAAACAAGAGCAAACTCTCCAGCCTTATTGTTATGTGATATTTTTGTCTGTGTTTTGCTGCTCATGTATCAAATGAATTATACATACAGTTCGGGCCCTAATACTGTGTCACTCTCTAGGGCCCCTGGAACCAGTATTCAAGACATGGCCATGCCAATTGCAGGGTCACGAGAGGCAAGGAGCAGGTTTAGCCCTGGTCACATCCCTGATGGGCATCCCTTTTCCCAGTATAAATGAGTGGGCATCGGGTGGGGCGTTACACTTCAGAACAGCAGACCCGGGAGTCCCATGGCGCCCACCAATACCTTTTCTGGCGTTTGCCAAGTGTTTTTAGAAAGTGGGGTCAGATGGGTTCCTGCCCAGTAGGGGCTCATTATTGGCTTTGGTGATTAAAATAACGTTTCAGTGCCAGCCGCCACTACAGAGTCGGTTTTATTCTCTGACGCCTCTTGTCCCATTAATTTAAAAAATTTATTCGTCTTGTCCCCTGCACTTCAGCTTCCTCTGTGTGTGTGTGTATGTGTGTGGTTGGCTCTGCCTCCCACAGTAGTCATTTTGTGGCCCCCCTCCCGCAGTGGCCTGTTTTGTGGTTTCGCCCACCATCCTGTGTCAGAATTCTAAAAGTGCCCTCAGGTTCAAAAAGGTTGGGGATCCCTACTTTAGAACATAGTTGCCAGAAGGGCAAAACCGTAAGTTCGGTGGTCTTTCTGCTGTGATCCTCGGGAGGAGGCAGCGTCCCTTGTGCCGGTTACATACAGCGGCTCTCAGGAATTGAATCAGTGTGGCCTGGCACTCAGCCACTTGGAAATGGTTCACGCACTGCCTATTAAATGTGAGAACCTGCCCTTCTTCTTACAGTAGAAGATTCCCTCCCGCCCTGGTCTCATTCACTCTCTTTCCTTGCATTAGATTGTTATCTTTGAAAAGATTGGTCATCTTTGAAAATGGACTTTTAAAAATTCAACCATAATGGAAGTACGGATGGGTTCCTGGACTATAAATAAATAGCATGGTCAAAGGGCCAGGAAAAACACAGCGGGAGAGGTAATTATGTAGAAATTCAGGAAAAGCTTAGGCAGCTTAGCGAACCTAGAGAAATGGCAAATTAGTGCCGTTATGAATGGCCTCCGTTGATCACTGTTTTGGGTTGCTTTGGTAATCCAGAATGCCACTTGAAGCATGGGAAGGGGGAATATGGTAGGGCTGCCAATTCCCCCCCGTGGGGCGGATTTCCCCCCGCTTTGGAGGCCCGATTTCCACGCCCACGGAATCAGGCCCCGGGGGAAACCCGACCCCCACGTGCACGTCACAGGCAAGTGACGTTATGACGCCGGGCACGCTGGGGGTGGGGCCACAGCCATTTGAGGGGAAAACTATGTTTTCCCCTCAAATGGCTGTGGCCC